GTGTGTCTGTGTGTGTGTGTGTGTCTCTGTGTGTGTGTGTGTCTGTGTATGTGTGTGTGTGTGTGTATGTTTGTGTCTGTGTGTGTATGTTTATGTGTGTGTGTGTGTGTGTGTGTGTGTCTGTGTGTGTGTGTGTGTGTGTATGTTTGTGTGTGTCTCTGTGTGTGTGTGTCTGTCTGTGTGTGTAGGTTTATGTGTGTCTGTGTGTCTGAGTTTGTGTCTCTGTGTGTGTGTGTATGTTTGTGTCTGTGTGTATGTTTATGTGTGTCTGAGTTTGTGTGTGTGTGTATGTTTGTGTGTGTCTGTGTGTATGTTTGTGTCTGTGTGTGTATGTTTATGTGTGTCTGTGTGTGTGTTTGTGTGTCTGAGTTTGTGTCTCTGTGTGTGTGTGTCTCTGTGTGTATGTGTGTGTGTGTGTATGTTTATGTGTGTCTGTGTGTGTGTCTGTGTGTCTGAGTTTGTGTCTCTGTGTGTGTGTTTGTGTGTCACGTGAGGACCCCATGTTCATTATTGATGAGAGCATTAAAGCTGCAGCTTCTGAATCGATCCGAGCGAGAGTCCCAGAGCAGAGTGTGCACGAGGGGCGAGCGTGCACGAGGCGGCGAGTGTGCACGAGGGGCAAGCGTGCACGAGGCGGCGAGTGTGCACGAGGCGGCGAGTGTGTCCTGGGACAGAAGTGCACGAGACAAAGTGCATGAGAGAAAAGTGTACGAAAACTGGGCACAATCAAATGGTCCAGTCCATGTTCTCGTTCATCAGAGCCAAAATGCCTGTCTTCGTCGAGCCACAGGGGGCGCTGTGGAGGATCGGGACTCATAGAGCACTGTTAAGTGCTGAGTGAGACCAGAGAGAGACCAGAGAGAGACCAGAGAGAGACCAGAGAGAGACCAAAGAGAGACCAAAGAGAGACCAAAGAGAGACCAAAGAGAGACCAAAGAGAGACTAAAGAGAGACCAAAGAGAGACCAAAGAGAGACCAAAGAGAGACTAAAGAGAGACCAAAGAGAGACCAAAGAGAGACCAAAGAGAGAGACCAAAGAAAGACCAGAGAGAGAGACCAGAGCAAGACCAGAGCGAGACCAAAGAGAGACCAGAGAGAGACCAGAGAGAGACCAAAGAGAGACCAAAGAGAGACCAAAGAGAGACCAAAGAGAGAACAAAGAGAGAGACCAAAGAAAGACCAGAAAGAGACTAAAGAGAGACCAAAGAGAGAACAAAGAGAGAGACCAAAGAAAGACCAGAGAGAGAGACCAGAGCGAGACCAGAGCGAGACCAAAGAGAGACCAGAGAGAGACCAGAGAGAGACCAAAGAGAGACCAAAGAGAGACCAAAGAGAGACCAAAGAGAGACCAAAGAGAGACCAAAGAGAGACTAAAGAGAGACCAAAGAGAGACCAAAGAGAGAGACCAAAGAAAGACCAGAGAGAGAGACCAGAGAGAGACCAGAGCGAGACCAGAGCGAGACCAAAGAGAGACCAGAGAGAGACCAGAGAGAGACCAGAGAGAGACTAAAGAGAGACTAAAGAGAGACCAGAGAGAGACCAGAGAGAGACCAGAGAGAGACCTTAGAGAGACTAAAGAGAGACCAGAGAGAGACTAAAGAGAGACCAGAGAGAGACTAGAGAGAGACCAGAGAGAGACTAGATATCCAGCCAATCACCTCTCAGCCCAAAGAGTCAAATAGTAACTCACAGGGGTCTGATATGTTCACTTTTTACTTTAGACCCGTTCTGTTCACACACGTGTTGTTGATGAGACTAAAGTTACGACCCCGAGCTTTAATCGTGGGATTGAGTGAGTCAGGATTACAAATGTATTTCCACTTTTGTTTTAAGCAGACGCGGTTAACGAGGGGGCGGGGCTATGCAAATGAGGCTGAGTGTGGGAACAGCAGCTGCTCCTCGAGACGCAGAGGGAGATTAAAGCTGGGAACGTAAGTTTAGACTAATCAATAACATGTGTTTGTACATGGTCTCTCTCCTCTGCTTCTTTCTGGTCTCTCTCTGGTCTCTCTCCTCTGCTTCTTTCTGGTCTCTCTCTGGTCTCTCTCCTCTGCTTCTCTCTGGTCTCTCTCCTCTGCTTCTCTCTGGTCTCTCTCCTCTGCTTCTCTCTGGTCTCTCCCTGGTCTCTCTCTGGTCTCTCTTCTCTGCTTCTCTCTGGTCTCTCCCTGGTCTCTCTCTGGTCTCTCTCCTCTGCTTCTCTCTCACTTCTCCCTTCTCCCCTCTTCTTTCTCCTCCCTTACTTCTCCCCTCTCCTCCCTCTCTCTGCTTTTCCTCTCCTCTCTCTTCTCCCCTGTCTCTCCTTCCCCTCTCTCCCTCCCCTCTCCTCTCCTCCCCACTCCCCCCTTCTCCTCTCCCCTCTCTCTCCTGTTCTCCTGCTGGTCCCAGACTGTTCTCCTGCTGGTCCCAGACTGTTCTCCTGCTGGTCCAAGACTGTTATCCTGCTGGTCCCAGACTGTTCTCCTGCTGGTCTCAGACTGTTCTCCTGCTGGTCCCAGACTGTTCTCCTGCTGGTCCAAGACTGTTATCCTGCTGGTCCCAGACTGTTCTCCTGCTGGTCTCAGACTGTTCTCCTGCTGGTCCCAGACTGTTCTCCTGCTGGTCTCAGACTGTTCTCCTGCTGGTCTCAGACTGTTCTCCTGCTGGTCCCAGACTGTTCTCCTGCTGGTCTCAGACTGTTCTCCTGCTGGTCTCAGACTGTTCTCCTGCTGGTCCCAGACTGTTCTCCTGCTGGTCTCAGACTGTTCTCTTGCTGGTCCCAGACTGTTCTCCTGCTGGTCCCAGACTGTTCTCCTGCTGGTCTCAGACTGTTCTCCTGCTGGTCTCAGACTGTTCTCCTGCTGGTCTCAGACTGTTCTCTTGCTGGTCCCAGACTGTTCTCCTGCTGGTCTCAGACTGTTCTCCTGCTGGTCTCAGACTGTTCTCCTGCTGGTCTCAGACTGTTCTCTTGCTGGTCCCAGACTGTTCTCCTGCTGGTCTCAGACTGTTCTCCTGCTGGTCCCAGACTGTTCTCTTGCTGGTCCCAGACTGTTCTCCTGCTGGTCTCAGACTGTTCTCTTGCTGGTCTATATCAGGCCTGTCCAAACTCAGGCCCGGGGGCCAATAGCGGCCCTCAGTGTCAGTTTATGTGGCCCTCTGTCGTGCGAACCCAAAGTTGTCTTTAAGATCATCGACACAAGTTCACTGTGTCATCCATCCAACTCCAGCTCAGCCATAGACGTTCTAAAGCCCAGAAGATCAGGATTTCAGTCGTTGGTTTTTGATTGTGTCACTTCAGTTAAAGGTGCTACTGTAACATGTGTCATTCAGCCAACTTCAGCTCAGTTATAGATCCTGGTAAAGCTCCAAAGTTTTTCAGTCCATGATGTCGGCCCTTGGACTAGTCTGAACTAAATGTTTGGACACCCCTGGTGTTTATGATTCTATACAATTAAATTTAAGGTTACATCAACTTTGCATCTGTTTTAAAACTCATGAACCACATGTGTCCACTGCCCCAGACCCATCCATCCATTTTCTTACGCTTCATCCGTTGCCGGGTCGCGGGGAGACTTCCCTCTCACACACTTCCTCCAGCTCGTCCGGGGGGACCCCAGGGCGTTCCCAGGCCAGCTGAGAGACATAGTCCCCCTGTGTCCCGGGTCTTCCCCGGGGCCTCCTCCCGGTGGGACGTGCCCGGAACACCTCCCCAGGGAGGCGTCCAGGAGGCATCCTGAACAGATGCCCGAGCCACCTCAACTGGTTCCTCTCGACGTGGAGAAGCAGCGGCTCTACTCCGAGCTCCTCCCGTGTGACTGAGCTCCTCACCCTATCTCTAAGGGAGCGCCCAGCCACTCTGCGGAGGAAGCTCATTTGGACCGCTTGTATCCGCGATCTCGTTCTTTCCCAAAGCTAAGCTAAAATTACCCAAAGCTCATGACCATAGGTGAGGGAGGGAACGAAGATTGATCGGTAAATTGAGAGCTTTGCCTTTCGGTTCAGCTCCCTCTTTACCACAACGGTCCGATACAGCTCTGACTGCAGACGCTGCTCCCTCTTCACCACATCACTGCGCACGCTGCACCGATCTGCAAATTACACCAGCTTCTTTATTACGCTAAAGCTAGAGCTTTATGTTAGCACAGAGTTAGCTTGTGTGCTCCTCTTTCTGTGACTGATGATGCAACACTGACATTTCTGTGGCACAAACTAAGGATCTTTTCAGGATTTGTTTCGTCTCAAAGTTTTACATTTGAACAGACGCCTCTCTCTCTCTCTCTCTCTCTCTCTCTCTCTCTCTCTCTCTCTCTCTCTCTCTCTCTCTCTCTCTCTCTCTCTCTCTCTCTCTCTCTCTCTCTCTCTCTCTCTCTCTCTCAGCGAGGGGCGAGCCAATGATGTCATGACTACATTTCCCATGAGTCAGCGCTTCTCAAGGTTCTCAGCAAAGACACGGAGGACTCTCCACCAATCAGAGCCCACGCCGTTAACTCCCTAACTCCTACCTCCTGTCTCCTAGCTCCTCCGTCCTATCTAGTCTGCTAGCTCCTACAGCCTACTTCCTGTCTCCTAGCTCCTACAGCCTACTTCCTGTCTCCTAGCTCCTCCACCGTGCCTCCTACATCAGTGAGAATCCATCACCTGTAGCTGAATCGTTGCACTAAGTGACTTTAAAGTCGGGGTACGTAACTTTAGCCTCATAAATAACGATTGTTTCTCCAAGAGTTGAGGAGAAGACGAGAGAGGAGCGGAAACAGGAGAGGAGAAGAGAGGATTTTATTTTTTGTGTAATAAAAAGTCACTATCTCTGGGCTGAGAGCCGATTGGCTGAGAGCTGATTGGCTGAGAGCTGATTGGCTGAGAGCTGATTGGCTGAGAGCTGATTGGCTGAGAGAGGGTGGTCCTCACTTTTTTACTTTTCTGTCTAAAAAATCTGAACTGATCCAGAAACTATTGTTGTGGTCTGAAAGTTATGTTCCCAACTTTAAGGTGCTTTCTCATAGATTTGGTGTCCTCTCCTTTCCTTTCTATTTCTCGCTCCTTTTCACTCCTCTCTCCTCCTCTCCTCTCTCCTCCCCCCCCTCTCCTCTCTCCTCCTCTCTCCTCCTCTCCTCTCTCCTCCCCCCCCCTCTCCTCTCTCCTCTCTCCTCCTCTCCTCTCTCCTCCTCTCCTCTCTCCTCTCTCCTCCTCTCCTCTCTCCTCCTCTCCTCTCTCCTCTCTCCTCCTCTCCTCTCTCCTATCTCCCCCTCTCCTCTCCTCTCTCCTCTCCTCCCCCCCTCTCTCCCCTCTCCTCTCCCTCTCTCTCCTCTCCTCTCCCTCTCTCCCCTCTCCTCCCCCCTCTCCTCTCTCCCCTCCTCTGCAGTATAGTCGGTCTCACCAGTGTCTGGTTTCCCGGAGAGACCCTGAACGCACCGTGAGGCGTTTACTGCAGAGACATCAGCTCTGATTTATGAGCTGCTGAGTGGACAGAGACCAGAGGACAGAGACCAGGAGGAGAGAGACCAGAGGAGAGACCAGAGAGAGACCAGGAGAGAAACCAGGAGAGAGACCAGAGGAGAGACCAGAGGAGAGACCAGAGAGAAACCAGGACAGAGACCAGAGAAGAGAGACCAGGAGGAGAGAGACCAGAGGAGAGACCAGAGAGAGACCAGAGGAGAGACCAGAGGAGAGAACAGAGAGAGACAAGGGAGAGACCAGAGAGAGACCAGAGAGAGACCAGAGGAGAGACCAGAGGAGAGACCAGAGGAGAGACCAGAGGAGAGACCAGAGGAGAGAACAGAGAGAGACCAGAGAGAGACCAGAGAGAGACCAGAGAGAGACCAGAGGAGAGACCAGAGGAGAGACCAGAGAGAGACCAGAGAGAGACCAGGAGAGAAACCAGGAGAGAGACCAGGAGGAGAGACCAGTGGAGAGACCAGGGGAGAGACCAGAGGGAGACCAGGAGGAGAGACCAGGAGGAGAGACCAGGAGGAGAGAGACCAGAGGAGAGAGACCAGAGGAAAGACCAGGAGGAGAGAGACCAGAGGAAAGAGACCAGAGAGGAGCTCCCTCAAACAGACAGGATATTTGAGCAGGGATGTGGATTGTTGTGGATAGCAACAACCTAGTTACCAAGAGCCAATCAGGTGCCTGGCCTGACTGCAGTCGCGCTATTCGCTGCTAGAGCCATATTCAGCTACAGAAGGCTCCTGATTGGTCGATGCTTTATAATAATAATAATAATCTTTATTTGTATAGCACTTTTAAAAACAGTGTTTACAAAGCGCTGCACAGTCAGCATGATAAACAATAAAAACAGTCAAAATACAAGGTCAAAATAATTAGATACAGAAACACAAAGCAAACAGAGCAAAACACAAAAGAGACACAACAAAGACAAAGCAGACATTAAGTGAAGTTTAAAACTAACAGTTAAAAGCTGTTTGATAAAAGTGGGTTTTAAGAAGAGATTTAAACGAGGATACTGATGGTGCTAGCCTTATCTCCTCGGGTGGTTCCAAAGCCGAGGAGCGCGGACAGAGAAGGCTCGGTCTCCTTTCGTCCGGAGCCTCGACCTTGGAACAGTCAACAGGGACCTGCCCGAGGATCTAAGGCTGCGGGGGGGCTCGTAGGGGGTTAAAAGTTCAGAAATATAGCTGGGTGCCAGACCTAAACGAGCTTTAAAAGTAATCAGTAAAATCTTAAAATCAATTCTAAAACGCACAGGGAGCCAGTGGAGGGGCGCTAAGACAGGGGTGATGTGCTCCCTTCTGTTAACACCAGTGAGAAGTCTGGCTGCTGCGTCTGGACCAGTCGGAGGCGGGAGAGGGATTTAGCGTCGAGACCGGAGAGGAGGGAGTTGCAGTAGTCGAGGCGTGAGAAGATGAGGGCGTTGACAACTTTATGGAGATCGGGAGAAGTGAGAATGTTTTTAATCTTTATGACTCATTACTGGATTTACAAAGAAAATATCACAATAAAAACACCAGGATCACAGACACTTTTACATGTAGTGAGTTAATAGGAGCCAAACTTCGTCCATGAGCACTTTCCCATGGGGCTAAATTGAGTTTGAGGGTTAGCATTGAGCTAGCGGGTTAGCACTGTTAGCATCTGTGAAGAATTCTGTTAAATCTTTTTGAATAATTCACTTTTTGTTATTTTTTGTGGTGAATAATTAAATGGAACACAGGGAGACGTCCTGGTTCCTCTGGAGCCGAGCCAAGACCACAACAGCTGCTGCAGACAACGGGGAGAATGGGAGATGCTGAGGCCCAGACCAGGACCAGGACCAGACCGAGACTAGACCAAGACCAGGACCAAGACCAGGGTCTGAGCCAAGACCACAACACCATATAGAAACAACAGGGAGAATGGAAGATGCTGAGGCCCAGACCGGGACCAAGATCAGGCCCAAGACTAGACTCGGACCAGACAAGGACCAGACTGGAACCAAGACTAGACCAGGGACCAAGACCAGACTGGGACCAGACCAGAACCAAGACCAGGGCAAGACAAGAATCCAACCAGGACATGAGCCAAGACAACAACAGCTGCTATAGATAACGGACAATAGGAGATCCTAAGGCCCAGACCAGGACCAGGACCAGCCCGGGACCAGACTGGGACCAAGACCAGGACCAAGACCGGACCAAGACCAACACCACATCAGCTGCTTCAGACGACAGAAGAAATAGTGAAGCTGAGACCAGACAAAGACCAAGACGTAGACTAAGACCAGACCAAGACCAAGTCCAGAGCCAAGACTGAAGTTGCTGTTTTTGTTGTGTCTAAATGGTGCCTGTTTTTGATCAGAATGTTCTCGGTTAAAGGACTGAGGAATCACTGAGATCTTTGTCCAAATGCAACCGTGACTTTGCTGTTTGAAAACAGAGACAAGCAGTTTCTCTCTGGTCTCTCTCTGGTCTCTCTCTGGTCTCTCTCTGGTCTCTCTCTGGTCTCCCTCTGGTCTCTCTCTGGTCTCTCTCTGGTCTCCCTCTGGTCTCTCTCTGGTCTCCCTCTGGTCTCCCTCTGGTCTGCTTCATGGTAATTGTCTCGTTAGACTTTTATCACTGCAATCAGGATAAGTGCAAATAAATCTCTCCTCATTAAAATCCTCAACTTTTACTTCACACAGAAATTAATTTCAACCAGGACCCTGGGGCTGGTGCTATGAGACTTGGGTGGCATCTCTGACTGTCACCCCCCTGACCCAGAAATGGATTAAAGGGTAGAAAATGGATGGATGGATGGACCAGGACCAGGGCCAGGATTAGGCTGGGACCAGCTGGACCAGGAGCAGGAACAGGACTAGAACCAGGGCTACCAGCACCAGGACCATGACAGACCAGAAAGAACATTTGGAATCGCCAAGACAAGGACCAAAACCAGGATCAGGACGAGTACCAAGACCAGGACTGAGACTACAACAGGACCGAGACCACGACCAGGACCGAGACCACGACCAGGACCAAGACCAGCATCTCTAAGTTCTCACATTGTTCCTCTGCCACAGACCTCCCAGAGACCAGGACCAGGACCAGGATGAAGTCTGGCCCCTCGGTCGCTACAGCAGTCTCCCATCACTGCACGACCCCGGCCCTGCCCTGCTTAGCCCCAGCACACATCGAGTGTTACCTGCGTGTACGAAGTAGGCCAGGTACAGGTCCAGCTCCTTGACGGAGACGCCAATGTGGTGCGGCTGGACGCAGAGCGCGGGGTTGGCGCACTGCGGGCTCTTCACCAAACGCTCTCCGTCTGTGCTCTCCAGAGGGATCCCCTTTAAACAGAGGGAAGGGTTAGAGAGAGAGAGAGAGACCAGAGAGAGAGAGACCAGCAGTATACTTCTCTGTAGCATACAATTCAAAGATTGAAAAACATGATCATTACAATCTTAGAACCAGCTCTGAATGTGACAAGGACCAATATCAGATTAGAGTTTAAATTGATTTTAGTCAGATTAGAGTCAGATTAGAGCCAGATTAGAGTCAGAGTAGAGCCAGATTAGAGTCATATTAGAGTTAGATTAGAGTTAGATTAGAGCCAGACTACAGTCAGATTAGAGTTAGATTAGAGCCAGATTCGAGTCAGATTAGAGTCAGATTAGAGTTAGATTCGAGTCAGATTAGAGCCAGATTAGAGTCAGATTAGAGCCAGATTAGAGTCAGATTAGAGCCAGATTAGAGTTAAATTAGAGCCAATTACAGTCAGATTCGAGTCAGATTAGAGCCAGATTAGAGTCAGATTAGAGCCAGATTAGAGTCAGATTAGAGCCAGATTAGAGTTAGATTAGAGCCAATTACAGTCAGATTAGAGTCATATTAGAGTCAGATTAGAGTCAGATTAGAGTTAGATTAGAGTCAGATTAGAGCCAGATTAGAGTCAGATTAGAGTTAGATTAGAGTCAGATTACAGTCAGATTAGAGTCAGATTAGAGCCATATTAGATCCAGATTAGAGTCATATTAGAGCCAGATTGGAGCCAGATTAGAGTCAGATTAGAGTTAGATTAGAGTCAGATTACAGTCAGATTAGAGTCAGATTAGAGCCATATTAGATCCAGATTAGAGTCATATTAGAGCCAGATTAGAGCCAGATTAGAGCCAGATTAGAGCCAGATTAGAGTCGGATTAGAGTCAGATTAGAGCCAGATTAGAGCCAGATTAGAGTCAGATTAGAGCCAGATTAGAGCCCTTTTAGAGCCAGATTAGAGTTACCTTGAAGAGGATGACCATGACCAGGTCCAGGCGCCACACCTTGTCGGCCTGCCGCAGACAGTCGATGCGCCTCATCTTGCCCTTCTGGTCGGGGTTGGAGAGGACGCAGCACGGCGCCTTCTTCCCCGTCACCGTCAGAACAAAGTCCTCCCTGAACTCGGGCCGAATGTCTTTGCGCAGTTTGGCGAGGAGGCGCGAGGCCCACTTCTGCTTCACCTCCGGCTTCTCCCCGAGGAGCTCGTCCTTCACGGCGCGCTCCTCCTCCTTCGACATGCGCTTCTCGTGCTTCTTGAAGTACTTCCGTTTACGCGCCTGAAGGTTGAACCAGGTGTAGGCGAAGGCGCGGACGTGCGGCAGGAGCGCCTCGATGAACGGATGGAACTCGTCCTGGAACCAGAGGGAGGGGATGAAAGGGGGGAGGGGAGGAGGGGGGAGGGGATAGGGGGGAGTCACATTTATTTAGGAGGCGCAAAACACAAGCAAAGAGCGAGAGAAGGTCTAACACAAAAACAGCAACGAGAAAACCAAAAGAAGAAGAGACTCAGAGCTATTGAGGTAAAGAGAGACTAAGTCCTGGGTCTACAGACTAAGTCCTGGGTCTACAGACTCAGTCCTGGATCTACACACTCAGTCCTGGGTCTACAGCCTCAGTCCTGGGTCTACAGCCTCAGTCCTGGATCTACAGCCTCAGTCCTGGGTCTACAGCCTCAATCCTGGATCTACAGCCTCAGTCCTGGGTCTACAGCCTCAGTCCTGGATCTACAGCCTCAGTCCTGGGTCTACAGCCTCAGTCCTGGGTCTACAGCCTCAGTCCTGGATCTACAGCCTCAGTCCTGGGTCTACAGCCTCAGTCCTGGGTCTACAGCCTCAGTCCTGGGTCTATAGCCTCAGTCCTGGGTCTACAGCCTCAGTCCTGGGTCTATAGCCTCAGTCCTGGATCTACAGCCTCAGTCCTGGGTCTACAGCCTCAGTCCTGGGTCTACAGCCTCAGTCCTGGGTCTATAGCCTCAGTCCTGGATCTACAGCCTCAGTCCTGGATCTACAGCCTCAGTCATCCCACTCCCTATGGACCAATAGCTCCTGTGTGTATTTTTGCATTCAGAGACCAGAGAGGGACCAGAGAGGGACCAGAGAGGGACCAGAGAGGGACCAGAGAGGGACCAGAGAGGGACCAGAGAGGGACCAGAATGAGAAAGAGAGAGAAACCAAATTATATAGAACAGACTGTGACTGAGGTGCGAAAAACCTTTCGAAAAAACTGGATCAAACTTGTTCTGTGTTAATTGATGATACAAATCGTACACAAACACAACACTGTCCATCCATCTTCTTCCCCTTAATCCATTCCTGGGTCGGGGGAGGCAGTCACAGCACCAGCCCCTCATTGATCCTCCTGCAGGTGCTGAGTCCACAGGAGCTGAGATCTTTCAGTGGGGGCTTCAGGCAAAGTGGGGTTAAGTGTCTTGCCCAAGGACACAACAACAGCAGTCATCAGTGGGAATCGTGAAGTAGGTCTTACGGTGGGCTCGAACCCACGACCTTCAGGCCCAAAGACCAATCCTCTACCAACCCTTCCTAATTGCTAACTAGCATGTTAGCATTAGCCCCTTCCCCATGTGATCCATACTGTTAGCCTCAATGCGGAAGAAGCTCATTTGAACATGAGCTAGTTGGAGCTGATGTCCTTATATGGGCATTAGTTACGACGACGTTAGCTTTGCGCCTCAATAGGGGCATGTGTGTTGCTAAGACGGTTGCTAAGGCGAGCTGGAGTTTGCCCGCGCGAATCAAGGCCTCTGATTGGTCGATCCTTATACAGTTCATATCTGGATTAAAAAAGATAATTGCACATATAAACACCAGGATCACAGAGGGCGCTAAACCATGTGACACCAACGGCTACTGAGCTGGTGGAGCCAAAACTTCTCCATGAGCACTTCCCTATTGGGCTTCATTGATGCTAGTGGGTTAGCATTGCCTGGCTGTATACCGTCTGTTAGCTGCAGCTACAAAAAGGTATGTTGAAAAATCAGTTTTAAACTTGGTCGGTGCTGCTGCGTGTGTTTTATTATTGCATTTCCTGTTTTTCTCTAATCTTTCGTTTGGGAATTGACAATAAACAACGTCCCCATTTGGGCGGAACACAAACACACGGAGGAGAACGTTAAAGGAGAATCTGTGTTTCTCTGATTCTGAACAAAATGTTTTGTTTTCAGCTGGAGGCGTTTTTTAAAGAAGACGCTGGAATCTGTCCAAGAGGAACTTGAGGGACTGAGGAGACCAGAGCGAGACCAGAGAGAGACCAGAGCGAGAGCAGAGAGAGACCAGAGAGAGACCAGAGAGAGACCAGAGAGAGACCAGAGCGAGACCAGAGAGAGACCAGAGCGAGACCAGAGAGAGACCAGAGAGAGACCAGAGAGAGCCCAGAGAGAGACCAGAGCGAGACCAGAGAGAGACCAGAGAGAGACCAGAGCGAGACCAGAGAGAGACCAGAGAGAGACCAGAGCGAGACCAGAGAGAGACCAGAGAGAGACCAGAGTGAGACCAGTGAGAGACCAGAGACAGCAGAGAGAGACCAGGGTGAGAGACCAGAGAGAGAGCAGAGAGAGAGCAAAGAGAGACCAGAGAGAGACCAGAGAGAGACCAGAGAGAGCAGAGAGAGACCAGAGCGAGACCAGAGAGAGACCAGAGAGAGACCAGAGTGAGACCAGAGAGAGACCAGAGAGAGACCAGAGAGAGAGACCAGAGAGAGACCAGAGACAGCCCAGAGAGAGACCAGAGAGAGACCAGAGAGAGACCAGAGAGAGACCAGAGAGAGACCAGAGAGAGACCAGAGAGAGACCAGAGAGAGACCAGAGAGAGACCAGGGAGAGACCGGAGAGAGACCAGAGAGAGACCAGAGAGAGACCAGAGCGAGACCAGAGAGAGACCAGAGAGAGACCAGAGAGAGCCCAGAGAGAGACCAGAGCGAGACCAGAGAGAGACCAGAGAGAGACCAGAGCGAGACCAGAGAGAGACCAGAGAGAGACCAGAGCGAGACCAGAGAGAGACCAGAGAGAGACCAGAGTGAGACCAGTGAGAGACCAGAGACAGCAGAGAGAGACCAGGGTGAGAGACCAGAGAGAGAGCAGAGAGAGAGCAAAGAGAGACCAGAGAGAGACCAGAGAGAGACCAGAGAGAGCAGAGAGAGACCAGAGCGAGACCAGAGAGAGACCAGAGAGAGACCAGAGTGAGACCAGAGAGAGACCAGAGAGAGACCAGAGAGAGACCAGAGTGAGACCAGAGAGAGACCAGAGACAGCAGAGAGAGCCCAGAGAGAGACCAGAGAGAGACCAGAGAGAGACCAGAGAGAGACCAGAGAGAGACCAGAGAGAGACCAGAGAGAGACCAGAGAGAGACCAGAGAGAGACCAGAGAGAGACCAGAGAGAGACCAGGGAGAGACCGGAGAGAGACCAGAGAGAGACCAGAGAGAGACCAGAGAGAGACCAGAGAGAGACCAGAGCGAGACCAGAGAGAGACCAGAGCGAGACCAGAGAGAGACCAGAGAGAGACCAGAGAGAGCCCAGAGAGAGACCAGAGCGAGACCAGAGAGAGACCAGAGAGAGACCAGAGCGAGACCAGAGAGAGACCAGAGAGAGACCAGAGCGAGACCAGAGAGAGACCAGAGAGAGACCAGAGTGAGACCAGTGAGAGACCAGAGACAGCAGAGAGAGACCAGGGTGAGAGACCAGAGAGAGAGCAGAGAGAGAGCAAAGAGAGACCAGAGAGAGACCAGAGAGAGACCAGAGAGAGCAGAGAGAGACCAGAGCGAGACCAGAGAGAGACCAGAGAGAGACCAGAGTGAGACCAGAGAGAGACCAGAGAGAGACCAGAGAGAGAGACCAGAGAGAGACCAGAGACAGCCCAGAGAGAGACCAGAGAGAGACCAGAGAGAGACCAGAGAGAGACCAGAGAGAGACCAGAGAGAGACCAGAGAGAGACCAGAGAGAGACCAGAGAGAGACCAGGGAGAGACCGGAGAGAGACCAGAGAGAGACCAGAGAGAGACCAGAGCGAGACCAGAGAGAGACCAGAGAGAGACCAGAGAGAGCCCAGAGAGAGACCAGAGCGAGACCCGAGAGAGACCAGAGAGAGACCAGAGCGAGACCAGAGAGAGACCAGAGAGAGACCAGAGCGAGACCAGAGAGAGACCAGAGAGAGACCAGAGTGAGACCAGTGAGAGACCAGAGACAGCAGAGAGAGACCAGGGTGAGAGACCAGAGAGAGAGCAGAGAGAGAGCAAAGAGAGACCAGAGAGAGACCAGAGAGAGACCAGAGAGAGCAGAGAGAGACCAGAGCGAGACCAGAGAGAGACCAGAGAGAGACCAGAGAGAGACCAGAGAGAGACCAGAGAGAGACCAGAGAGAGACCAGAGTGAGACCAGAGAGAGACCAGAGACAGACCAGAGAGAGACCAGAGAGAGACCAGAGAGAGACCAGAGAGAGACCAGAGAGAGACCAGAGAGAGACCAGAGAGAGACCAGAGAGAGACCAGAGAGAGACCAGAGAGAGACCAGAGAGAGACCAGAGAGAGACCAGAGAGAGACCAGGGAGAGACCGGAGAGAGACCAGAGAGAGACCAGAGAGAGACCAGAGAGAGACCAGGGAGAGACCGGACCATCACATCCTGTTAGCATCTGCCTCAAGTCAAGAGGAGACACTGCCTCTGACTTTACGCACCTGTGGCCTATTGTGTGTGTCTCTGTGTGTGTGTGTGTGTGTGTGTGTGTGTGGGTGTGTGTGTGTGTGTGTGTGTGTGTGTGTCTGTCTGTGTATGTGTGTGTCTGTGTATGTGTGTGTAGAACAGTGTGTTGTGATTATAGGATTTGTTCTAATTCAGGATTAATCTTCTCAAATTAGCTCCAGAATCAAACGACGCAGAGCTCAGTGTTCACAGTGGAGCGAGAATTAAAGCTGGGGTATGTGACTTTAAAGCTGGGGTATGTGACTTTAAAGCTGGGGTATGTGACTTTAAAGCTGGGGTATGTGACTTTAAAGCTGGGGTATGTGACTCTAAAGCTGGGGTATGTGACTCTAAAGCTGGGGTATGTGACTCTAAAGCTGGGGTATGTGACTTTAAAGCTGGGGTATGTGACTTTAAAGCTGGGGTATGTGACTTTAAAGCTGGGGTATGTGACTTTAAAGCTGGGGTATGTGACTTTAAAGCTGGGGTATGTGACTCTAAAGCTGGGGTATGTGACTTTAAAGCTGGGGTATGTGACTTTAAAGCTGGGGTATGTGACTCTAAAGCTGGGGTATGTGACTTTAAAGCTGGGGTATGTGACTCTAAAGCTGGGGTATGTGACTTTAAAGCTGGGGTATGTGACTTTAAAGCTGGGGTATGTGACTCTAAAGCTGGGGTATGTGACTTTAAAGCTGGGGTATGTGACTCTAAAGCTGGGGTTTGTGACTTTAGAGCAACAACAGAACTGTATAAACACATGTCTCTGGTTCCTGGCTCTAAAACTGTTGCTTCTGTTGTTGAGTGAGACCAGAGAGAGACTAGCGAGAGACCTAAGAGAGTCCTGAGAGAGACCAAAGAGACCTGAGAGAGACCTAAAAGAGTCCTGAGAGAGACCAAAGAGACCAGAGCGAGACCAGAGAGAGACCAGAGAGAGAGACCATCATGTATTTCTGTCTCAGTCTCATCTTTGGATCAGATTCTTGAGACAGAAACGTGACAAAGGGAGGACCCCCCTCTCTCAGCCAATCAGCTCTGAGCCCAAAGAGTCCAACAGTGACTCACAGGGATCTGTCTGATCTGACTAAAGTTACGTACCCCAGCTTTAATACAATACTTTCTGAAGTGAGCGTCTAAACCCTAGGGTCTTCATCATGTTAATTAAGTCTCAAACTGTCCCTAAACTCTTGAAATATTTATATAAAGTTGTTTTGATATAATTTAAAAAACGGTTTTGTTTTTAAATAATCAGAAAGTTCCTGAACTTTGGTAAAAATGATCAGAAAAAGGCGCCGCTCACCTGCGTCAGACAGAGCGGAGAATACATCACTGTCCCGGGCTGCTCCGAGGCGCGCGACACCGGGGCTGCGCGTGCGTGTGAGAGAGGGGGTACGTGCACGTGCCTGGACGTGCACGTGGAGAGGGGGGGCGGGGGCGTAACAGTTGTCTCCGGGAACAAAACAACAAAATAAAGTTGCAAAAATAAAAAAAAGTATGCGACGCGCGTTCACATCACACTGCTTCTACACGTGCGCGCGCGTTGGGTAACGGGACAGGCACGTGCACGCGCGTGGGGGCCGGGAGCGCGTGCGGGTCCGGGGCGACACAAACGGGACATGTCCGGAGCATCCAGGGGGGCGAGGCGAGAGGAGGGACCGCGGGGAGTGAGCTCCACAGGCGGCTGCAGGACCGAGCCGTGCCCGGGGAGAGCAGCGGAGGTCCGGATTAAAGATTACAGAGGCTGAAGTCCATGAAAACATCCAGGAATCAAGGAGTTCTGCGAAACAGCTCAACACTTGAGTTTGACTTAAATTCACTCAAACTGGTTCAAAATGACAGCCCTGGTTCAAGCACACACTTGGTTCGAATCCCTTGGCATCAGAAACTAGAGATATCTGTTGAGTCCGAGCTCCCGGGGAAGGCATGTGACAAAGTGTCCGGGAAAAGAGAGCTCGCAAACGGCTTGTCCAGCGAGCCGAGTCCGGGGGACGCGCTCTCACTCGCGGGTTCCACTCCGCGCTGTGTCCCGGGACCCGGAGCACCAGCGGGGAAAAGCAAACACAGAGAGATTATGGAAGAGGTCCCGCGGAGGAGGGGAGCATGCTGCCACTTTGCCCGGAGTTTGCCAGTCCCAATGCGAACCGTGAGACAGGAGCGGGCAGCGCGAGCCAAAGTGTCCGGGGAGAGTGCTCCTGAGCGGGCAGAGAGCAGAGCGGAGAGTCGGTGTCACTGCGGAGGCTCCCGGGGAGGAGAGGCCGAGGCTGGGGCTGCGTGTGTCCGCAGAGGAGCGCTCAGAGCCCGGGGAGGTGGCATGGTTAGAAGCCGGGATGAGGAGCTCGTGGGCCGGCTGCAGAGGGAGGGGAGGGAGGGAGGGGGTGGAGGGGGGAGGGGAGGAGAGGGAGGGGGGGGTCCCGTGGATGCCGTGGAGGAGGAGGGGGAGCAGGGCCGTAGCTCTGGTCAGTAACAGGGGAGACCGAGGGCTGGTTCCAGAGGGAGATATCAGTGAATGTAGATCCAGAGACCAAAGACCAGAGAGAGACCAAAGACCAGAGAGAGACCAAAGACCAGAGAGAGACCAAACAACCAGAGAGAGACCAGAGAGGAACCAGAGGGAGAGGGAGAGACCATGGAGAAAAACCAGAGAGAGAGTCCAGAGAAAGAGACCAGAAGGAGGAGGGCCTACAGGTGGAATTGAATCTTCTTGTGTAAGATTTCACAATCCAAAGAGCGATAGTTTCTCGGGATGGAGCAGCCCAGACATCTCTCCTGGTAACTATGGTAACTATGGTAACTGTGGTGAGAGTCAAAAGTCAGATTCACGCCTTAGTTTAGAGCTGAGTTCTCTAAATCCTGGAACAATCCTGAACCGACACCTGTCACATCTGCACGGATCATTATTTATTGATTATTTTTCTGATTATGAAGCAGTTACAAATGTGTTGTGTGTTCTTTTCTGGGTGTCTAGAAATGATCTCACTCTGGTCCCCCTCTGGTCTCTCTCTGGTTTCTCTCTGGTCTCTCTCTGGTCTCTCTCTGGTCTCTCTCTGGTTTCTCTCTGGTCTCTCTTTGGTCTCTCTCTGGTTTCTCTCTGGTCTCTCTTTGGTCTCTCTCTGGTCTCTCTTTGGTCTCTCTCTGGTCTTTCTCTGGTCGCTCTCTCTGGTCTTTCTCTGGTCTCTTTCTGGTCATTCTCCATGGTCTATGTCTCTGGTCTCTCTCCATGGTCTCTCTCTGGTCTCTGTCTGGGCTCTCTCTCTGGTCTCTCTCCTTGGTCGCTCTCAGTTCTCTCTCTGGTCTCTCTCTCTGATCTCTCTCTGGTCTCTCTCTCTGGTCTCTCTCTCTGGTCTCTCTCTGGTCTCTCTCTCTGATCTCTCTCTGGTCTCTCTCTCTGGTCGCTCTCTGGTCTCTCTCTGGTCTCTCTATGGTCTCTCTCTGCGTTCTCTCTCTGGTCTCTCTCTGGTCGCTCTCTGGTCTCTCTCTGGTCTCTCTCTCTGGTCCCTCTCTGGTCTCTCTCTGGTCTCTCTCTCTGGTCTCTCTCTGGTCTCTCTCTGGTCTGTCTCTGGTCTGTCTCTGGTCTTTCTCTGGTCTCTCTCTGGTCTCTCTCCATGATCTCTCTCTGGTCTCTCTCTCTGGTCGCTCTCAGTTCTCTCTCTGGTCTCTCTCCTTGGTCTCTCTCTCTGATCTCTCTCTGGTCTCTCTCTCTGGTCTCTCTCTCTGGTCTCTCTCTGGTCTCTCTCTCTGATCTCTCTCTGGTCTCTCTCTCTCTGGTCTCTCTCTGGTCGCTCTCTGGTCTCTCTCTGGTCTCTCTCTCTGGTCTCTCTATGGTCTCTCTCTCTGCTTTCTCTCTCTGGTCTCTCTCTGGTCTCTGTCTGGGCTCTCTCTCTGGTCTCTCTCCTTGGTCGCTCTCAGTTCTCTCTCTGGTCTCTCTCTCTGATCTCTCTCTGGTCTCTCTCTCTGGTCTCTCTCTGGTCTCTCTCTGGTCTCTCTCTGGTCGCTCTCTGGTCTCTCTCTGGTCTCTCTCTCTGGTCTCTCTATGGTCTCTCTATGGTCTCTCTCTGCGTTCTCTCTCTGGTCTCTCTCTGGTCGCTCTCTGGTCTCTCTCTTGGGCGGCACGGTGGCTGAGTGGATAGCACTCTCGCCTCTCAGCAAGAAGGTCCTGGGTTCGAATCCCGGTCGGACCAGGGCCTTTCTGAGTGGAGTTTGCATGTTCTCCCCGTGTCTGCGTAGGTTTCCTCCGGGTACTCTGGTTTCCCCTACCGCTAAAAATATGTACAATAGTTCTGGCATGCACCTCCTGTACTGGTGACCCCGCTCCCATCTCTGTGTGGAGTGAGAGACAAGTGCCCAAAAAAATAACAATTGTAAACCGCTTTGTGACTCTGATCTGCAGTGAAAAGGCGGTATATAAATAATTACTTACTTACTTACTTACTTACTTCTCTTGTCTCTCTCTGGTCTCTCTCTCTGGTCTCTCTCTGGTCTCTCTCTGGTCTGTCTCTGGTCTCTCTCTGGTCTCTCTTTGGTCTCTCTGGTCATTCTCCATGATCTCTCTCTGGTCTCTCTCTCTGGTCGCTCTCAGTTCTCTCTCTGGTCTCTCTCCTTGGTCTCTCTCTCTGGTCTCTCTCTCTGGTCTCTCTCTCTGGTCTCTCTCTGGTCTCTCTCTGGTCTGTCTCTGGTCTTTCTCTGGTCTCTCCTTGGTCTCTCTCTCTGATCTCTCTCTGGTCTCTCTCTGGTCTCTCTCTCTGATCTCTCTCTGGTCGCTCTCTGGTCTCTCTCTGGTCTCTCTCTCTGGTCTCTCTATGGTCTCTCTCTCTGCTTTCTCTCTCTGGTCTCTCTCTGATCTCTCTCTGGTCTCTGTCTGGGCTCTCTCTCTGGTCTCTCTCCTTGGTCGCTCTCAGTTCTCTCGCTGGTCTCTCTCTCTGATCTCTCTCTGGTCTCTCTCTCTGGTCTCTCTCTGGTCTCTCTCTCTCTGGTCTCTCTCTCTGGTCGCTCTCTGGTCTCTCTCTGGTCTCTCTCTCTGGTCTCTCTATGGTCTCTCTCTGGTCTCTCTCTCTGCGTTCTCTCTCTGGTCTCTCTCTGGTCGCTCTCTGGTCTCTCTCTGGTCTCTCTCTGGTCTCTCTCTCTGGTCTCTCTCTGGTCTCTCTCTGGTCTCTCTCTGGTCTGTCTCTGGTCTCTCTCTGGTCTCTCTCTCTGGTCTTTCTCCGTGGTCTCTTTCTCTGGTCTCTCTCTGGTCTCTCTTGGTCTCTCTGGTCATTCTCCATGATCTCTCTCTGGTCTCTCTCTCTGGTCGCTCTCAGTTCTCTCTCTGGTCTCTCTCCTTGGTCTCTCTCTCTGGTCTCTCTCTCTGGTCTCTCTCTCTGATCTCTCTCTGGTCTCTCTCTCTGATCTCTCTCTGGTCTCTCTCCTTGGTCTCTCTCTCTGGTCTCTCTCTCTGGTCTCTCTCTCTGATCTCTCTCTGGTCTCTCTCTGGTCTCTCTCTCTGGTCTCTCTCTGGTCTCTCTCTGGTCTCTCTCTGGTCTCTCTCTGGTCGCTCTCTGGTCTCTCTCTGGTCTCTCTCTCTGGTCCCTCTCTGGTCTCTCTCTGGTCTCTCTCTGGTCTCTCTCTGGTCTCTCTCTGGTCTGTCTCTGGTCTTTCTCTGGTCTCTCTCTGGTCTCTCTCCATGATCTCTCTCTGGTCTCTCTCTCTGGTCGCTCTCAGTTCTCTCTCTGGTCTCTCTCCTTGGTCTCTCTCTCTGATCTCTCTCTGGTCTCTCTCTCTGGTCTCTCTCTGGTCTCTCTCTGGTCGCTCTCTGGTCTCTCTCTGGTCTCTCTCTCTGGTCTCTCTATGGTCTCTCTCTGGTCTCTCTCTGGTCGCTCTCTCTGGTCGCTCTCTGGTCGCTCTCTGGTCTCTCTCTGGTCTCTCTCTCTCTCTCTCTGGTCTCTCTCTGGTCTCTCTCTGGTCTCTCTCTGGTCTCTCTCTGGTCTCTCTCTGGTCCTTCTCTGGTCTCTCTCTGGTCTCTCTCTGGTCTCTCTCTCTGGTCCTTCTCTGGTCCCTCTCTGGTCTCTCTTGAGTAATAATAAAAAATCAACACTTCACATTCATTAACTCCAAACACAGTGGTGATAAACTACTACTGTGGCCACAGCTGCCCTGGGGCACACTGACAGAAGCGAGGCCACCAGTCTGTGCCATTGGCCCCTCCCACCACCACCAACCATTCACACACACACCAGACTCATTCTAGGCATTCTAAAATCAGTGGCGTCCTCTTGTGCTGAAAAGTGGAAGTGCGTCTCCTTCAAACTGAATATTATGTTTGTGTCGTGTCCGTGTCTGCTGGTAACACTGACACATGGTTCATAAAAACACTGACACATGGTTCATAAAGAGCTGTGTGAGATAGTATATCCTTATATGGTCAGACAGGTTGACTGCAGACGCTGCTCCCTCTTCATCACAACAGTCTGATAGAGCTCTGACTGCAGACGCTGCTCCCTCTTCACCACAACAGTCTGATAGAGCTCTGAGTGCAGACGCTGCTCCCTCTTCATCACAACAGTCTGATAGAGCTCTGAGTGCAGACGCTGCTCCCTCCACATGTGTCTGATAGAGCTCTGAGTGCAGACGCTGCTCCCTCCACATGTGTCTGATAGAGCTCTGAGTGCAGACGCTGCTCCCTCCACATGTGTCTGATAGAGCTCTGAGTGCAGACGCTGCTCCCTCTCACCACATGTGTCTGATAGAGCTCTGAGTGCAGACGCTGCTCCCTCACACATCAGTCTTCTCATGCAGCAGACAGAAACACGTCTCTCTTCACACTTTATGATCTTTATAATAATATAATTCCTTTTGTTTATTTTCATAAAGTGATGTTTCTCATGTTCAGTGTGTTGTGTCTGTTCACTTCCGTTTGTTTTACTGTACTTTATTAATTTTAATGTATTTATAGTTTATATTTTATATTTATTGAATGTTACGTTCATGGTTCGTGCTTCAGTCCAGTCCTCTGCTCAGAGAGACAGTGCCCTCTGGCGGACACGCTCTCATACTGCACACGGGTCTAGAGCGCGATATCTGTTACCATGGCGATAGCGGCGGCCATGTTGTGTTTCCTTCTACACTGAGAATCATATGGACTCAACACACTGTGAGAACCATATGGACTCAACACAGTGTGAGAACCATATGGACTCAACACGGTGTGAGAACCATATGGACTCAACACAGTGTGAGAACCTTACGGACTCAGCTGTTTCCATGACAGCGCCCTCTGCTGTCGACACCTGAGCTGGGGTCACGCAGGGGTCACGGGCCTCATCAAAAACACATGAAGAAGAAACTGAGACATCAGTAAAGCTCAGGTCTGTAACTTTAATCTAATACCACATGTTTAAAGCTCAGGTCTGTAACTTTAATCTAATAACACATGTTTAAAGCTCAAGTCTGTAACTTTAGTCTAAATAACACATGTTTAAAGCTCAGGTCTGT